CTCGCTCTTTCGTCGTCCCTCTCAACTGTGGCAGCGTTCCCGAGAAGCTTTGGCGATGCTCCAGCATGTCTGCCACGCCGTCTCAACCCTCGCATCCATCCCGATCATCCTTTCGCGGTGGACCCCCACCCTCCTAACCCTTCCACTCCCACATCCTCTTTTCCCCAGTCCAACCCACTCCACTCCAGCCAAAATAATAAACACACAAACTAAATCTTTAAGAAAATCACTCAAACATTAGATTCTTACCATTTCTCTTTGTCTCTTTGAAACTGAACCAAATACCACAGAGTTAGTGTCCTCAACACTGGCTTCACTCACACAACCCTACACTTACTCACTCCTTGTTTTATTCATCTTTCTCTTTATAATGTTAAAGGGCAGTGTGTGTGTGTGTGTGTGTGTGTGTGTGTGTGTGTGTGTGTCTTGGGTCTTTTGTTCACTGCCAGTGCAGATCTATTCATCATGTGCCAAGACTCAGTGCCCTCACTTGTAGTGAAGAGGGTCCAGGTTGGTGCCAACTGCCCTGACTGCCAACTTAGTGCTGCTTTCTGTCTGTTTACACACACACAAAACTCCATGACTCCCTCTCACACACACACACACACATACACACTTTTGTCTTCACCATTAGCATGTTTAGAGTGACAGTTTCACAATAAATAAATATAATCAACAGATGTATGGATTATGCAAGTGCACTATTAGTCGACTAAATGATTGAGCGTTGCTACCCTTGCTAGTCGGCATCAGAAACACTAGTCAGTTAAATTAATTATTCATATTTTATTATATCATGAATGATGCAGGTTAACTTTTGTGAAACTAGCACAATTTCACGGTATTTGGATCTGGAAAATAAAGTTTGTACGTAGGCTGTGTCAGCACAAACTGGCATATAACAGCTCGACCGGAGAGATGTGTCACCGCATTCAGCACAGGCAGGTGGATGTTAACCTGCAAGATAAGAAGACTGCTGGTGCTAGCACTGCTAACATTAGCCGCGCTCAGCCAATGTTAGACACAGCCACCTTCATAGGCTGCATTTGAAGACTGACTGCTTCGCAGCGGTGCACACAGGCCGCCACATTTTCGACGGCTCCTTCAAATGTAGCTGAGAAATGCGTCCTTCTTTTCCTGGGAAACAATGGCTCCAATGGATGGATCCTTCGTGGCTAAACCTATCCCACAATTCATTGCACATCGATAATAAAATAATATGGCAGCAGACAACACCGACAGAGAGACTGAGGATTACACTTTTAAATGTAAGTATTTGGTTTCAGCTCAGTTCAACAGCTAACGGTACAACTGTTAAAAAGACCACGGGCCTTAAAACCTCAAGTTTTAGTAAAAAAAAAAGATACGAGTTGACAAGTTGTCGAGCAACAAGGTAAGGGCGGGCACAGCAGGGGATGCAAAGCAGGAATCCTCCACAGGCCAGACCATCTCGTTTCAATTGATTCGTCGCGGTCAACAAAGGATGTGGTCCCTGAATTGTGACACAGCTATTGTTTACCCACAGACACTGTTACACCGATTAAATTGTGCTCACATTTGACCCTTATCCTGATTGTTTTGATACTTTTAGATTAATTGAGTTGTCTAAATTTAAATTGCAGTTTGATCAACAGGAAAATTAGTCATTAGGAACATCAGTATGGAATAGGGTTGAGCGATCGCTGATTGCTCATGCCTTTGCAAATGTCACAACGATATTTGACTTGTTTTCTCATTTCCAAATGGTCAAAGTTGTCATATTGACATTTTAGGTGTATTGATTGATTTCCAAACGTCAATCATGCTTTGAGTAACACACGGGAAACATTCCACCTTGAAAGATGGCGGTGGCTGCCAGTGGCCTCTGAGCTGACAGAAAACATCTTTTCATTGATCATTCACTCATGATGAAACTGTAAAGTGGGGCTCTATGTTTTAAAATCATAAATCGGCTATCGGCAATTTCACAGGGTGACAATAGGACTGTGGTTAGGATTGGGCAAACCCTAGTATGGAATGTTAAAAGCCAATAGTTCCATTTAAGAATTAATTCTTCTAATATCAGATATTTATTGCCAATACTCTTATTCAATATATCTTTATAGACTTTCAGTGAAAATGTATTGTGGCAATAATATTTCTTTTCTTTACATCAAATGATCCTGCAAACTATCATTCAAAGCTAATGAAAAAAGTTTACTGACACTTTTTGTTTAATGCAGAACAAATTGATTTGAACATTGAGCTTGATTGTTTTCTGTGATTAGAAATACATTTTCCATATTGTGACTTTTTGCCGTGTTCATGCCGTGTGGGCTCGTACAGCCAACGGCATCAAGGGGTAGCGTGTACGTGATGCATTCAGGATCTCAATTTCATATAGTTTCAAACAGCAGATGAGGCAAAGCAAACAAGGACAATACTGAACAGAAATTCAAACTACTGACAAAATGATTTGACTGGCATGAAATGTAATCAGAAGAGACCTGATTAGAGTCAAAGTGTCTGTTAGACTACATTTCCATTCCTGAAGAGCTGTTACTTCTTGTTCCTTTGATATCAAATCAAAACCATCTCTACACCAGTTCTCCAGGTTAAAAAAAGTTTGGTTTTCTCAGTTTCCAATGATCCTCTTGTCACAAAAGGTTAAAAATAAATAAATACAGTACACCAGTCTTTAATTCACTGCACTGACTCTTAAAATCCTACTACTTGTCTGTAAAGCACTAAATGGTCTCTGACCTGAATACGTTTCTGATATACTTGTATGTTACGATGCATCCAGACCCCTCAGGTCATCTGCAGAGTGGGACGGGTTTATTCAGTGTTTCCAGAATGAAAACCAAGCAAGGAAAAGGAGCTTTTAGTTTCTCTGCTCCCTACCTGAATACCTGAGGTCTACTAAAAGCTCATTGAAACCAGGGCTTAAAGCATTATTCTTTGCTGAAGCTTTCTAACAAATTAAATATGTAATTTCTATTCAGTCTTAAACTAATTATTTGCTTGTCTTTGTTTCTATTTTCATTCTCTTACAAATGCAATTTCAATGTCTTCTTAATGTGTTTCTATGCCTCTGTAAAGCATTTAACTTGCCTTATTTCATTGTCTTTTAAATGCAATCTTAATATCTTCTTAATGTCTTACTTTTGATATATTTCTATGCCTCTGTAAAGCATTGTGTCTTGTCTCTGAATGGTGCTACCTAAATAAACTTGCCTTCCCACTTCGCTGCAGGACACACTAGACCAATTAGTTGATCACTTGCTGCCTAGAAGACATACTACAGGGCATACTGGGATATTTATACAACATATATTACTTTAAAAAATATGTAATACCTCTATGAATGTTGTATGATGTATTAATTGGTTCACCACAGCCACACCAACACAAATCTAACACACTTCAACACATTGTCTTTAATTTGTGGGGGAGGCTATACTGTTATTATACCTGAATAAGTTTACACCTAACACAAATTGATAAATAATTCTAACATTGCAATATGTTTTTCAACTGGTCTGTTCTGAGAGGTTTCCGCAGTCTCTTTCCCACTGTGGTCTTATGTTTATGCAAGAATTATGGAAAGTTTAAGACAAGAGTTTGGGGGTTTTTATCTGCACTGTCTATATGATTTAGCATGATATTTATGTGATTATGAACTTCACTTTTTACAGACTTTTAATTTGGATAAAGGAGAGCGCTATTCTATTGAATCAGCAGATAAAAGAATTGAGGTAAAAGTTTGTTGTTCTAGTAATAACCAGAAGTGGACAAAGTACAGTTGCATTACTTGAGTCAAAGTACACTTACATCTGGTCAAATATTACTCCAATACAAGTGAAAGTTCTTCAGTTGTGTTTTTACGAGTTAAAGTACTGAGTACTTCCTTTTGAAAATACTTAAGTATTCAAAGGTACACATTGTTGTATTATTTCACAGTGTATTTACAGGATGTATTGACTCTGAAAAACCTGCTGAATGCACTGACTCACTGTAGAATCTGTAGAATAAAAAACTTGTATCATGTGCTACAAAGTTGATAGAAATAGCCATAAAAACACAATTGAATCAGCAAAACAACAGCCAACTACAAGCTGTTTATCAGAATATAACAAACACTTAATACCTCAACATGCTTGCTAAAGTTGGACAGCAAATTTCTGCAGGCAGTGATACATATTGGTGGTGTTAAACACAGCAAACATTGAAAACAAAAGGAATCTTCATGTAATTTAAAAATTTTTAAACATGGATTTGAAGCATCTTCTGCATCATCTTTATCTAACGTCGCCATCATTAGGACACTGACAGGTTCAAACATGAGTGACAGTAGAGGATAAAAGAAAACTCATTCCTCTGACTAAGCTCTGCTTCAAAGTAACAAGTACTTCACTTCACTACAGAAATGTAGTCAGAATCAAAATTACAGTATGTGTCTTTTAAGAGTAGTGGAGTAAAAGTCATAAGTTCAAAAAATATATTACTCACAGTACAGATACTGGGAAAATATACTTAATAAAGTATTCAAGTAAATGAACTTTGTTAATGTCTACCCCTGGTAATAACAGCTGGCAGTTAAAGGGGTGAAAGAGCAGTTCTGCATTTGTAAATAAAGTTGTTTTATTTGAAGTATATATTACCATATCAGGGGTGGTGACTGACTTATATCACGCATTTGTTTTTATTTCTGGTTCTCAACTTTTATATATTTACATACTGTACAATGTACAAATGTGCAAATGTATGATAATATTCATTCAACTTCACATAATAGCAACAGTTGGTTATTAACGTTTATTTGACGTAATTGCCTGTTTTGTAACTGAACCTGTTCCTGTCGTGTGAGGAAGGCAACACCGCAAACGTTGAGCAAAGATAACAAGGACATAAACCAGCAAACTGCCCCGTTTTGTCTCGTTAACCTGCTGTCAAAAGTTATATCTTGTTGCTACAGAAGCTAGCATGCTAAAGCTAACCAGGCTCCGTTTGTGTCTTACCGGAGACTTTGATGCTGTCAGTCCGCCCGGGCAGCGCTGTCTCTGGAGTCGGCATCTGGGCTTTAGAGGCCATGTCTCCCATCCTACTGTAGACAAAATGACGCCAAACCAGACGGAGCCTGGAGGAGGAGACCATTGAACCGACAGCGGAACCAACACGCTCCCACAGCACACTCAGGGTTAGCTCGGCTAGGTTAGCTACATAACAGCGACATTACCTAACGTAAACACCGGTCTTGTGTAATGTGACGGTGCACAGTTACACAACAGTGACCATAAACAAAACTGCATGCATAAATATATACCACATATATACGTATACTATTATACTTTAAATGCTTTAAGCACAAATTATGACCCTTACTTGTAATTATTTAGACAAATTCAAAACTTTTAACTATTTTATTTGTTATTTATTAGTTTATTTGTATCACATGTTCGCTGAATTTCCCAGATTACCTTTTTATTTCTCTGTGAAGTTGGTGTGTACACTTTGAAAATGTTTACTGTCACTAATAAGTAGCATAACTTTAAATTGTGAGAGTTTTCAATGGACCTTGTTATTGCTGCAGACCAAAATGTCCCATATAGTACAGTGCAAAAGTTGTAGGCACTTGAAGTAAAGTGCTCTTAAAAACAATTCCATAACGAGTTAGTATTTGTTAATTAACTTCATAGAAAGTGCATTAATAAAAAAAAAAAAAATCAAATCAAATCAGTATTTTCTGACACTGTCATGCTGCAAATTACTCCCTTTGAGAAATATGTGTCTCTATTTTTTTAAATTATTATTATTATTTGTATTTACTTTGCATTTTTAAGGGTATGAGGTCCTATGTCAGGCACCGTATTGTCTAATGTTCTGTAAAATATCGTAAAAAAAAAAAAAATTATCTAAATTGTTTTGTTTTTTTTAAAAAATCAGTATTTTCTGTGACCCCCTTTGCCTTTTACACCAGATCTCCTACCCACACTTGCTCGCAGTTTTTCAGGAACTTGGCAGGTAGGTTGTTCCAAGCATTTTGGAGAAGTTGCCACAGTTCCTCAGTGGATTTAGTCTGTCTGTGAGTCTTCTGTCTCTACATCTGATCTCAAACTGACTCCCTAATGTTGAGATCGGGGCTCGGCGGGGGCCAGATCATCTGTTGCAGGACTCCTTGTTGAGAAGATAGTTCTCATGACTCTGGCTGTGTGTTTGGGCTTGTTGCCCTGCTGCAGAATGGTCAGATGCCTCCCTGATGGTATTATGTGATGTATCAGAATTTAAACATCAAAAGTACTAAAAGTTTTACAGGGAGGGATCACAGGGTTTTGAGCTTTATGTCTTTTTACATCATCATTGACAGATTAGTGCTCTCTGTGGCTGTTTTTAATTGGGCTGCTCTTTAAATTGCGACGCGTGTTTTTGCATTCAGCCCCACTCTGTGCCTTTCTCCCACTGTTAGCTGCATTTCTGCAACTTGGACAAATGTTTATTGTTTGTTTGTGTTCTATAGTTTGTTGTTGATGTGGGAAACAAAGTCTGAAAATCACATTAAAAGCAACCAAACGTTTTAATGTGAAATAGTGGTTCTGTTTTATCCATGAAAAGTTATTTTCTCTAAAGTCTAAAAGATAGTTAGTGTGACCTACAATCTTAATCACAATCATTTCATTATAATCATTCTGAGTCACCGTACTGTGACCTATGTGAATGACTTTAGTCCTGTTATTTTAACTTAATTAGGCTCATCAGGCCAAGACTATTGCGCAGTCATCTAATTTAAAAAGCAAAGTCTGCTCTCATCCGTTGTTTTGATTAATTTGTGATGCATCAAAAACAATCAAAAACAAACTGAAAATACTAAGCATAAACCAGACAGGTTGGGAAATAAAGTGGTGTGAACTGAATACACATAGCAATATGAATATCAATGGATGGTGAAAAAAACAAATTTGTTGGCTGTCATGTCCTAAATTGTGTATTTGGAATTCATGTTATTGTTAAACAAGTATTAACTTCTTGTTATTGTCTTATAATTGTAATATTAATCTTATAATCCTGGATTATTGCTATAGATTTAAATTGATCTTAATCAGGGAATTTATGCACAAAGTGTTAACATAAATATATAAATAATATAATATTAAAATACATCAGATTTCATTACATTTCTTGGGAATATTAAAGCAGTAAAATGTTAAAACAGTAAGACAGAGCAAAGATAAATGAGTGTGCTCATCGAATAATGAAATTAAAACATATAAATATATGACACATACAGTATAAGTAAGATAAGATAAAATGTTCCTTTATTGATCCCCGTAGAGGAAATTTAAATTGACATAGCATCACAAAAGAATAGCAGCATGGGGGGGGGGGGGTTGGTTGAGGCTCCATAAGATGGAAGCCACTGATTATTTCATGGTCTGTGCAGTGAAATGAGTGCAGAACAGCCTCCATCGGTCTACTGGTTCCCAGTGCGCTGGGTGGGGGGAGGGAAGGAGGGACAGATGACGAGCCATATGGAAGAACCCGGGAGGAACGTTGCTCATGTTGGAAAAGAAAAAATCATTTTCGGTGTCTGATTGTTCCTGTATGGTGGTGAGAACCATCAATAATTTAGCAGGCGAGCAGTTTTACATTCCACCACAGCAAATGAGTGTTATAGATGAAATGGTGTAGCCATGTTTGAAGTGTTTTTGGAAGGTACCTTTATTTTGTGGTTGTCTCAGTAATGTAGTAATAAATGCAAAGGAGACTCACCTGTACACCTCAGGTGGGAGTCCTCAAAAAAACAACATTTCTTCAATCTAAAACCAGTTAAATACCAGTCAGCTGGATATTATGAAAACCTCATTAAGGTTTTGTATCAATTTAATATGGTTAAACTAGGTTTTAGTGGTGCTGGTGGTGGTGGTGGTGGGGGGTGGGGGGGTGGGGGGGGTTATCTCCACTGCCACACTCCCTTTAGACCTATACCTGTTTCTTTATGAATAGGGTGAACAGATGTCCCCGTTTATGGTGTCCTGTCCCTGGCTGAAAATGTCCCTGTTTGTAATTAAGAACAGACGTCTAGATGCTTGTTTTTGCCAAGAGAGGGGGCTTGCTGTAGCTATAACAGTTTCAGAAGTGAAGCTAAAACCATCATAATGAAGTTATCCAATCAGATCTTTTGTTTTGTTGTCTCTAGGCAGAGAAAAGGTTAGCTGGCCCACTCATTGGTTCATAACTGGGCAGCAAACTAACAAAATGAAACTTCAAACAAATTTAATGACTGCTTCAAAGTTATGGAGGTCTTCACAATAGTTTATTACAGTACAACAGTTAATATGGTAAAAATACATGACTGTCCCCCTTTTTTATTTCATAGGTAAAAACATATATTGATCGCTGAACTGGAAATGTCCCCAGTTTTCATTTCAGATATCTGGTCGCCTCATTTATTAAATGAAGAGAGATGAAGCTAAAAATAATTTGATTTAATGAATTTTGTTGGTATTTGTATGGCATCACATGGATTTTCTAAATGTTTGACAGGAATACTGGAGGTTATTGGGATAAGTTTAAGTTTTACTATTTAATTTTCAACTCTTTAGATTGGTACAGGATGTATTTAGCCTAGCCTAGCAATAATACAAAAACAGGAGGATACAGTTAGCCTCCAACAAAAGAGAGAAAAATACAACAATAGCATAATAAAGGAGCTGGAGCTAAAAAGAAGGAGTTGCTAGCATCCGCGGTAGCGTGCTGACATAGGATCGAACCAAGAACTGGTAACAACCCACCATGCCGCCTGCTGAGGGCCGAATCTGACCTGTAAAGTTACATTACTGGAGTCACACGTTAGCAGGTGGCTGCTGTGGGCTGGAAACTCTGCCTGATCTTTTATGGACCCGCAATCAACCTGAGAACACAAACAAGTGTTGAGTTTTAAAGGATTACGTTTAGTTAGAGTTTCTGCTTCAGCTTGAGGTGAGTCAGCTGCTGTTCCAAGCCCTATAAATTACATTTAAAAGGGGCTGAGGGTGGTGGTGATTGTCACTTGACAAGAGCTGCAGCCATTGTTGCATTTACAAGAAAAGAGGTCATAATATGTCCTCTGAGAAGTGTTACGTCATCATGGACAGATTGGAGGCTACAGTGACTCAGTATCAGAAAGTGACGAGACGGACTGGGGCTAGCGGGTTAGCATGTTAACTTCAGTTGAAAGAAAAGACATAATAGAGACAAGAGTTAACATTGGTGTTGCTTTCCACCACTGGAGAGTAAAGGACTGATCTTTGATCCTGAATTCACGTTTCTTCTAAACAGCTGTTAATGCTAACGTTAGCAATGTAGCAATAGCAAAACTTGCAAATAGCTGATTTAAATGCCACTTTTAGTCAAAAAGCTAGGCTACGTTATCTTCATGCTGACATTGCCGACATTTCCCAATAAGCACACAGGCCTATAATATAATGGCCAAAAGTATGTGGACACCCATGTGTACCTCTGGTCCATAAACAAATGGTTTTCCTAGTTCATTGTGGATGACTGGTCTGCACAGAGCCCTGACTTCAACCCCATCCAGAACCTTTGGGATGACCTGGATCAAGCCGGGCCTCATCACCCAGCGGTGGGTGACACTTTTGTGACTGAATGGGAGCACATCCCTGCAGCCATGGTTCAACATCCAGTGCAAATCCTGAAACCAGAACAGTGGAGGCTGTTATAGCAGCACATCAAGGCCCATTGTTTTGAGATGAAATGATCAGCTGTCACATGGGTGTCACGTTTGGGTGTTTTGGGCCATGTATTGTGTTTTTATTTAGATAACACACCGGTTTATTTGTTGCTTTTTACAATATACTGTTTCTTGGATTGAAACACCATATTAATGTCAGTTTCATTTAGAGTCAGATTGACTGGGCCCTGGTTTGGTGAGGCAGATGCTCTCACTCTCCCTCCCTCCCTCCCTCCCTCCCTCCACCCTCAGAGGAGGACTAGGGATGAAAAGCAGAGGGAGGATAGAGCTGGAAGCTGAGGATGTAAAAACCTGGCTTCAGCTGACTCCCTCTCTTTCAGAGGACCACCCCCTCCCCTCTCCTCTCCTCTTCCTCTCTTCTCTCCATCTGACTGCGCCCAACTTCTCTCCCTCCATCCTGTCACACAGCTACTGTATCCACCTCCTGACTGCACCCAGCACAAACAAACCCTGATATCTGTGGGTTTAGGATACTGCACGGCTCCAGCACTCTTCTGGGTTTGGACTATT